AAGATTATAATATTGTTGCGTATATACGAAACAATGAACGCGTTAGTTTAAGTATATAAGTTTTGATTTGACACTTATTAAGAAAAATATAATTGCTTACTTGAATGAAGCTATGATTTAAGATTTAATTTTCTTGAATGGAAAAGAAACAATGTTGGATAGAAAATAACGTTTTTAAATCAAAGATTATAATTTTCTTAAAGTAGAATTAAATAATTATATATTCTTGAGGTAAAAATTACGATATTAAAATAAGACTATAATATTGTTGAAATTTAAAATGATTAAATTCTCCTAAGAAGATTAGAAATTGTTGCGTATATACGAAACAATGAACGCGTTAGTTTAAATATATAAGTTTTGATTTGACACTTATTTTTTTTTCTGTGCATGCACATCGTTAATTGTCTCTTTTCTCGCGTATAATGTTAAAGAGAAGGCTACAAATATGATGAATTTGAATATAATTTACATATTCATGTGTGCTTGTGTTTTTTTACTATATATTATGTAATTCTAAATATGTTCATAATTTTACATACATGCATCATTCGCGCTAAAATGAAAAAAATAGAGTTAGAGATTTTTCTGAAGTATTCCTGTAACCTTGTTTAACATCACATAGTATATTATTTATGATATGTATATTAGGAGTATATAAACGGAAGTGATGGAAAAGCGCCAAGTATGGAGGGACGTAAACGATGTCGGCAATGATCGCGAGGATAGTTAGCGAAGAGTTAAAGGCCGGTTGACAGGTCGGCGAAACTGTTTGCGAGATAAAGCATGTCTTAACGTGGCTGCTTGTCGGTCGACGGTATTATAAATTATCAGTTTTAAAAAGTTACAGCATAGTTAACGGCAACGAGAATTTTCGCGTAACAAGAGTCTGAAACGCAAGACCATGTCGAGAATTTGTTTGTTTGAGTAACATTCTGTTTTCTTGACAATTCTTTTCTCAATGTATTTTATTTCAAAATCTTGACTTTATATGATTATTTGTCTCGATTTTTTTTTATTCCGAACGAAGATTGTATTTTTACAATTAAGTTGCTTTATTTATGCTGCTAATCTTTTTTGAATTTTCTTCATGCGACTATAAGATTGGAAAGAAAATCTGTATAAAATTAGAAAAATTGCGTTCGAAAAAGGATAGTGATCATCTAATAGCGATTATATTATTAACTTTTTGACGATAAATTAGTAAAATAAGTATAAAGGTGATTATCAATTTTTAAAATAGTTTACGAATTTATTTAAAATTTAAAATTTAATTATAATTGTATTTAATTTTATATTAATATTAATTTTTGTCACTTAGTACATTGTTTTTCACCATGTTTTATACGCAAATATATCATTTGTAAGTGACAGTTTAAATATTACTTTAAACAAAAATAGAAATTTAATTTTTTTTTAAATTGATCTTGATCGACGCATTTTGAATTTATTTCTGTTTTAATTTATTAATTTGCTACAACACAGTAAAATGTGCTGACAGTTATTTCCTATTACCTTCTTTTATTTTTACTCGAATTACAAAGTTTTCTTGGCGCATGGTTTTAAACACAGCGATTACAACGATTCGTGACCCAAATATACGTACACCTGCAGATTTACCTCGTTTCAATTGTATACAACTTATTATGTTTTTTTATATAAGGAGAGATGATTTTTTTAAGACATATCTAGTCGATCATATTTATAATATATGTATTTACAATATAGAATTTTCATCAAATTATATTTTTTACTAGAAGAGAATTTAATAATATTTTTATTATTATTATAAAGAAGATTTTGATTTAATTACCGTTTTTTACTGCATCGAAAAATTTAAAATCGAGATAAAGCACTGTCAGTTTATAATCGATAGATTGATAAACGAACGAATGCATATTCGAATATCAAATTTTAATTAATCAACAAGTAATTACTTCTCGATCTGGATGTCATTATATTTAGAACTATTGAATCCAAAGAAAAAAATATCACGGACGTCGTACTGCGTGCTTCGAGACCGTGCAATTAAGTAGTCGCAATAATGAAATGCGTCATTCCCCTTTGAGGCTCCCTTAAGAAATAACACCCCTGGTAAGCTCTAGGGGATAGTTATTCGAGAGACTAATAATCATGCTTGCGATTCGTAACACGTTTTTCTCACGATGCACCGCTGCGAGAACAATTAATGATTTGAATCTAAACCCCCCTTAATTAATGATTTATCGCAATTAGCTGTCAGAAAGAACCAAAATTTTATTCCACGCGAAGAAACAAATCGGTAGATTTGATGCTCGATTATTGTAAAATTATTTATAAAAATCTAATACATATATTATAGATTTAAAGGGAGAAAATTAATAATAAAAAGAAAAAGAATATAATATTCATAAAAGAAAGAGACTTGTTTTATTTATCATTAAATTTAAAAAGAAATCATTGCATCGCTCTAGAGCATCCGCTCTGGAATCGATTTTTAAGAGCAACAATTATAAAAATCTAATACATATATTATCGATTTAAAGGAAGAAAATTAATAAAAAGAAAAAAAATATAATATTCATAAAAGAAAGAGACTTGTTTTATTTATCATTAAATTTAGAAAGAAATCATTGCATAGCTCTAAAGCATTCGCTCTGGAATCGATTTTTAAGAGCAACAATTTGAAAAAAAAAAAAAAATTTCTTTAATCTGTTGACAGCGGAACAATTTTTGTGCGCAAGAAAAGGACTACACATATTGAATTCGGGAAAGGGTGTTATTAGTAATATTGAATTTCAACACAATTTTGTTCGATGAATATAAAGTTTTTTGTTAGAACGGAAACGGATAATGCGCCGATATCGCGTACAAAAGCGAATCACGAGAGCGTTCTGCAAAGATGATTTCAGTTGCATCTACTTTTGTAACAGTCGCCGTGCTCATCGTTTCTCTCTGCATTCGACGACATATCGATTGGCTATCGCCTGCGCGACGTACATTTTCTCTTCTTTGTCTGAGGCTATGAATTTCTTACGATGTCTCCCGCGGTCGATAGTGCCGCAGATCGGTATAATTATACTCGAATTTTGTAAATGTGTGTATGTTGACCGCTATACACATATAGAATAATCTATACGTCATGATGATCGGATTTTCTTACGATATATTCGTGAGGGATTTGATGTGAAATGTGAAAATATCTTTCAATTTTCTTCCAACAAATATTAGACAATAAATAATTAGTAGATGAATGATATAAGAGCACATTTTATTACATGAAATAATTACAAGAATATAAGATGATATCTCTAAGCAGTTAGAATAATATTATAAATTTAAATTCTGTCATTCCCTGTTTAATTTAATAACGCTCAATTTACTGCGACTGAAATTAGAAGGGAACTTTGCAATGGAAAGCCATGTGTAATGAGTTTAGGTATTTTTACGCCAAACATTTTTTGGCTTTACGCCAGCCAATTCATCGATCAATTTATTAATGGGCTAACTCTTCTCGCGCACTCGATCATGAATATCTAATGCTGCTTTGCCAGCAGACAAGAATGAACGAGTTAAATAATCATCATGATTAATGCAAGAGAAAGATTTCTCCCGTTCAAAATCTATTAAGTCAAAGACATCGACTTTTCTAATTATATTTGTCAATTTTAACGTTTTTAGAAACCATGATACGCGCTAAATTTAATTCTGAAATCAATTATTTTTATTAATCAATTTTTTCTAAATTTTTTAAATATATTCGTGCGCATAATATAAACAAGAATAAGCAAGATATTAATATAAATAATTTAATACGTAGGAAAGAACATTATAAAAGAGAGACATTAAAGATACGATTTTTATTTACATTCTTTGACAATTGATTTTTTATGAAGTAATCTTAAACATTTTTACAAATTTTATGCTTAATTTATACTTAAGGATGTATTGGTCTGCCTCAAAAGTTAATCCAAAGTATCAAAAAATTAAAATTGGGCAGAATACGAATTCTAATTGATCAAAAATTTTTAAAAAATCACGAAATCATACTTCAAAGTATTCTTTAATATAAATAGGTCTTAATTTCCAAGAAAATGTATAAATTTGTATATACGTTTTATTATCAATATTGCGTCAAACCGATAATCACAGTTATTTTTTAATAATAATTTCAAAACGAGCAAGTAAATCGTTTTAAAACTTTGTGGGAACATTTTTACATGTATGAAGAATATAATATTACAAAATGAAATTTTTATCATTGTTTTTTTATAATTTGTGAATAATTTATTACCTGAACGTTTACATAAGGTCCTATGTTAAAATCGCAAAATTCAAAAATTAATAACTTTTAAAGGAGCAAGTAAAAAAATTTGAAATAATTCATGACGATTTAGAATGTTATTAAGAATGTTAAATTAAAAATTCACGGCGATCTCATTGATTGTAATATATCTCCAATACATCCTTAAGGATGTATTAGACGGACCGTCTGTCTCAAAAGTTAATCCAAAGTACCAAAAAATTAAAGTTGGGCAGAATATGAATTCTAATTGATCAAATATTTTTTAAAAATCACCAAATCATACTTCAAAGTATTCTTTAATATAAATAGGTCTTAATTTCCAAGAAAATGTTGCCACGTTTTATCATCAATATTACGTCAAACCGATAATCACAGTTATTTTTTAATAATAATTTCAAAACGAGTAAGTAAATCGTTTAAAACTTTGTGGGAACATTTTTATATGTATGAAAAATATAATATTACAAAATGAAATTTTTATCATTGTTTTTTTATAGTTTGTGAATAATTTATTACCTGAACGTTTACATAAGGTCCTATGTTAAAATCGCAAAATTCAAAAATTAATAACTTTTAAAGGAGCAAGTAAAAAAATTTGAAATAATTCATGACGATTTAGAATGTTATTAAGAATGTTAAATTAAAAATTCACTGCGATCTCATTAATTGTAATATATCTCCAATACATCCTTAATGGATTTATGCTTCTTTACAGAAGAATTCGTTCGCATGGTCGGAGGGTGGCGAAGAAGGCGGTGGTGGCGGTGGTGGAGGTGGCGGTGGGACGGGTGGGACCGGAACAGGTGGTACAGGCCCAGCGACCACCGGTAGCGGTGGTCTGGCCCATTGGGTTAGTGTCATGGCGGAACACATTCACAATCCGCACTCGGCCACTGGCGTCGGTGTTCACCATCAACAACAATCCCCACCTCAGCCGCCTTATCCGTGGAACAATGGCCTTTCCAGTGACGTGAGTACGCTTTTATTGCAATTCATACACAGTAAAAAATTTTGTGTTAAATTTACCATATTTCAAATGTCCCGATTTATCTACTCTAATTTTAATGTTAATTTAACAGAAGGCAAGTAGTATGTAAATAAATAACGCAAGTAATATGTTTAAAAATTGACACAAAAGTGTAATACTTAAATTTTATCTAGAAATAAAGTTTATGTTAAATTAACATATTTATAATGTTAAATTGAATTAAAAGGAAATGTTATTTTTACATTTTTATGATAAATAACAGAAAAGATATGTCGATTTATACATCTCTTCTGAACAACATATGGAAACTGTTATAGAGAGAAAAATAACACAATTTATCTGTTCATTTTAACATATAACATATTTCATCAAAAATTCGTGCATTTACATATTAATTGTGTTGTCTTAACTCTTAGAAACGGTGAATATTAATTCAATGCAGAACTGTCAAAATAACGCAACGATAATATGTTACATTAACATAAAAATATGTTAAAAATTTAATACAAAAATTTTTACACGAGAAAATTTTAACAGAAATACAAAATGTTTTTTACCATGTATTATAATTACTACTATTGATATAACTATTATAATTATTACTATGGATTTTGTACTTATGTTATTTGATTTTGTACTTATGTTATTTGATTACTGTCTACAGAAGAGCTTTATAATTACTCACGTAAAAGTAAGCACTTTTATAGACAGTAATAGTGAGGTAGATGAAATAAGTGTATAATCAATTTTTTTGTCCATCAAAAATTGTAGTCAATTCTTTATGCGTCAAAATGTGACACGAAAATCGTGCTCGTAAAGCAGATAATAATAGAAGCAACTCTAATTAACTTTTGTGTCTCTTAAAAGATTACAACAATCTAACAAATACCATTGAGTCTTGAATTATTCTCCTATAGCTACGTTTTTTTGCGGACTTGGCAAAAGCTGCAGTTGCGACAAAGAATTGATAAAAAAGAACACTGAAAGAAAGGAACGGTTAGAGAACGAAAAAGGAATAAAAAAAGAAAAGAACGTTGGCTGAATTAAAAATGGCCGGAAGAAAGACACCGTTAAATGCGCAGCAACAACGGCACCAAAGCTTCGGAAATAGTAGAAAAAAAATCCCCAACATCCTTTTTTTTTTTTTAATGCGCGGTGTTAGCGGGACGGGGAATACTCTACCCCTGTTTTGATTTTGTTTTTTTTCCCTCCACCCTTTCGCGTGCTATCTCCGGACGAGAATCCTGCATAATTTAGACGAGACTGGATTAGAGGAGACCGTCAAGAGAGGAAGAGACAAAGACTGCGAAAAAGCAGGGAAAGGGTGAAGCAGTAAAATCGAAATGGAAAGGATGGGGGTGAGAGGCAAGATGGGGTACAAACGACTCGAAAAACGACAGCGAAAAAGGGCGCCAAAAAGGGTTGAAAATCGCTTTACATAGCAGTGTTCTTTCGTTGGGTTCCATCTCGGAATAAAAAAAAAGGAAGAAAACAAATAGACGGAAGCGTGAAAAAAAAACTTTCGAGGAAGAGCAGTGAAAGAGCATGTATAAGCGCATTTGCGTGAAAGAGAATAAATAAGAGAAAAGTGTGAATAACGATAATATAGTAGTAATTTGACCGTTTAAATCGATAATGATAATTAGCGTTTTTTCTTGCCTTAATCGATTAAAGAGATCATTTAGGATATAATCGAGAAGACAATTAACGAAAGAAACTGCTACGAAGGCCTGACTCTTTTAGATTAAGAGAAAAGAATATTTAAAATTGACATATCTTAAGGATGTTTTGTATGTACAATCTCAGCAAAAAGTAGCTGAAAATCAATATTGAAGAATATATCCACTTTTGGTGTATTTTGAGTAAGAAATTGTGTGGAATATTACAATTTGATTTTAGCTACAGCGCAGAGATGTATTTTTTAATATTTATTGTGTTTTTACTGAAATATTCCGAATTTTGTTAATCGAAATGATTAATTTTTGACAGAGAATTTTGCCTTGTGACAGATACATGGCTAACTTTATTGAATTATATTTAATATCTTTTCAACCAGTTAGTACTTGTATAATATTATTTGACCAAATATTTCGTCTGTATCTAAACTTTCGCAAATTTTAAACAAATTTTGAATATTATTTCCATGTGTTTTTGTCATTTGAATCGACGTGGTTATACGTTTCCCATAAGAACACATGTTAATTCGGTGCAAATTAAAATCCTTATAACTTGTGAACGCTTTAGTGAATCGATTTAAAAATTATATTGAAGATTCTAAACATATGTAGGGACATTCTGTACAATTTTCATTAAATTCTCAATATTTTGAAAATAGGTACAAAACATCCTTAAAAAAATTGTATATTAAAAATTGGTATATTAAAAAAATTCAATTAATATTCGAATAATTTAAAATTTGACTTTGGTCAGTGATATTTTCGTACAGGTCGCTAAACATTTACAGATTTATTCACTGAGGATCACGAATACAGGTCTGAATCGGAATGATTAACTTTTGGCAGAAAATTTTGCCTTATGACAGATACACGGCTAACTTCATTGAATTATATTTAATATCTTTTTAATCAGTTAGTACTTGTATAATATTATTTGACCAAATATTTCCTTTGTATCTAAACTTTTGCAAATTTTAAACAATTCTGAATATTATTTTCATGTGCTTTTGTCATTTGAATCGACGTGGTTATACGTTTCCCATAAGAACACATGTTAATTCGGTGCAAATTAAAATCCTTATAACTTGTGAACGCTTTAGTGAATCGATTTAAAAATTGTATTGAAGATTCTAAACATATGTAGGGACATTCTGTACAATTTTCATTAAATTCTCAATATTTTGAAAATAGGTACAAAATATCCTTAATACAATTTAAAGTAAAAATTCATAGATTGTTTTTTGCTTTGGACGAGAAATGCTGACTGGAAATGTATATAGTATCAATTTATTTGTTGCAATTTTCAGTCTAGGAAACTCTCTCTTTAGTTACTGCGACAAAGTTACATAAAATGAATTAGCAAATTATCTTGGATGTATTAATCTTAAAAGCAATCGCGAGCTCGTGTCTTGAACTGTCATTAGAAAATGCTTCAATTATTATTTTTAAATATGATCTTTAAAAAGCTAAATTAATTAACTATAAATATATTTTAGAATTTATTATTTGAAAATAATAAGTTTGAAAAGAAGAGAAATAAATATGTGTGCCTTAAAATCCTTACAACTTGTGAACGCTTTAGTGAATCGAAAAATTGTACTGAAGATTCTAAACATATGTAAGGACATTCTGTACAATTTTCATTAAATTCTCAATATTTTGAAAACAGGTACAAATCATCCTTAAAATATTCTACTTCATTTTTCTCATTTCTAAGCGTCGCGCTCCCATTACTCAAAAAAGATCGTAAGGAATCTCGATCACAGAAGACTCGTTTGTTTTTCCAAGATTGAAATTAGGGTGTGCCTTCTATCTTCGTACGGTACGAAAAGGACCGGATTTGAATGTGAATAGAAGCGGCAGACATCTCGAGGACGCTCTTTATCGGTCGTAGAACCTGTAGCACGCGGAAGAGTTATCCCGAGGCATCGTTTATCGTCTCTCTTCTTCTCTCTTCCCCTCCTCCTCCTCTTTTTCTTCCTTCCGTTAAAGGTTCACCCGGTTTTTGTCTATGGTTATGGGTGCCCGCGCGGGACCCACGCCATGGGACTATCGCGGAGGCCTCGGGAAAAAACAAGGAACTACGACAACGGGGGGACGATTTAAATAATCCGCGGCATGCTAATGTCTCTGGCATTCTCACGGGACACCGTCCGTGAAAGTTTGCGGAAGGGAGGGGGCGATAGATGGGAGAAGAAAAAGAAGCCTACAAGACAATCGGCCAATCTGCATACGGCGCATACGGGCGAGAGGAAGCGCTTTCACTCTTTGGCATCTCTCGAGGAGATGATCGTATTATCTCGTTGAACGATTCGTGACCAGACGAATCGTCGTGAAAACCGTTAGGGCTTAAATTAAAAATCTTCAAGATTTTCTCCTTTATAACACGAATGAATTACACAGGCCTGCGAGGTTTTTTTTTTAAGATGCAATAGTGATTTCCGACGTAATTTTGTGAGCTGAATTCGAATCTGGCTGCCGAATTTGCGTAGCACGTTACGTTTTTGAGTAATTTGTAATTGAATGGCTCAAAAATCGCTATTTTGGCCAATTTCATGAATTTATTGCGAGGAAATCAAATTTTTTGAAATATTTCTGCCAATGGCATCGTATAATACTCACTTTCGCCTTTCAAATCCACTTTCGATTACCGCTGCACGATTTTTTTCGCTGAGATATATAAGTATGACGTTGTAAGAAAATTTACGTTAAAGAAAATTGATATAGACATCAATATGGTAGATCTATGATCTTGAAATTTGAAAAGCCTGATATATGTCAGGTTCGGTTGGCCAAAAAAATATTGTAAAGAAATGTCTAATACAGTTGTTACACATTTTGATAAATTTTTCTAAATTTTATATCTTTTTATTGTGATTCTATTCGCCATATTGGATGCGCCATTTTAAATTTCAAAAGGTGACAGAAGGTATTTAAAAATGTATATTTTTACCCTAATTTTGATTCGTAGTGAGATAGAGAGATGGCACGATTGATTTAGAATGGCTTATTAAATCTCTATACAGTCTTATAACTTGTATATTTGAGCGAAAAAAAATCATGCGGCGGTAATCGAAAGTGGATTCGAAAGATGAAAGTAAATACTATACGATGCCATTGACAGAAATATTTCAAAAAATTTGGTTTACTCACAATAAATTCAATTAATTGAAATTGGCCAAAATAGCGATTTTTGGGCTATTCAACTACAAATAACTCAAAAACTTGACGTGCTATGCAAATTCGGCGGCCAGATTCGGATTCAGCGCACAAAATTACGTCAAAAATCACTATTGCATCTTAAAA